ACTTGCAGTGTTATCCTGGGCTCAGGGGGGGGCTCCTGGCCCTGACTCCTCTAATCTTCTAGGTTCAGGAGGTCAGAAGCCCTTGGCCGTGGAAGCTTGGCCCGGGGGTTCTTAGGGCATTCTCTTGCCCAATGTCCTTTTTCTTTACAGTAAGCACATTGGTCCCTGTCCAGGTGGGGCCCCCTTCTGTCATCCCTCTGTCTATTCTGTCTCTGGCCTGTCACTACTGTGGCCAATAGCCTGCTCATTTCTTTATTCCGCTTACGGTCTCTCGCAACCTCTTTTTCCTCTGCTTCCTGTCTTAGTCTTTCCTCTCTCTCCTGGGTTTCCTTCCTCCAACGTTCTTCTCTTTCTGTCTGTGTTTCCCTCTTATTAAAAATACGTTCTGCTTCCTTCAACAAATCTTGCTAGATTCTGTAGCATCCCATTCTACCTAGATTCTACAACTAAAAGTCTGTTTCGTTTGGCTATGGAGGCAGAGCCTAGCTTAAGCTGTCTTCACACTCATTGGTCCTCTACATTCAGACTCCAGTATTGGAGATTACGAATGTGTGTCACTATTTGGGCTTTAGATACTAGGAATAAATAAACAAATAAATGTCTCTAAGCATCCACAAATGTTTGTGCTATCTTCATTGGGTTGGGGTATAGTTTAAATCCTACCCCAAAGTCTAATAAAATTTGCTAGCCTAGAAGAGTGATTTTGAGATCACAGTCTCTGTGCATTCTTGTGTTGTGAACTCAGCTTAGAATTTCAATGGCACCAGATCTTTAAGAATGGAACATGAGAGAAAGGATGGTGCTTTTAGTTAAGGTGCTGGGGAGATAGTGTTTGCATATCCAGAATAAAAAAAAACCACACCCCAGTCTCACCAATTACAAATAAACAAACACAACAAAAACCCAAGCAAACAAAAACACAACTGCAAATGGATTAAAACTCCCAGGGTGGTAGCATGTGCCCATAGTCCCAACATGCAAGAGGCACAGCCCAGCAGAGTTTGAGACTAGCCTTGTCTCTAAACACACACACACACACACACACACACACACACACACACACACACACACACAATTTAACACATTAAAGATTTAACTATAACACTTGGAATTTTAAAATAACACTTGGAATTTTAAACTAATAGAAGAAAAAAATCAGAAAAAAGCTTCAAGACATTGAAATGGGCTAGAATCTTTTAAAATAAGACGCCCCACCCCACCCCCTGGAAAATCACAAAATCAAAATCAAAAGCAGACAAACTAGCTGACATCATTTGAAAAGCTTCATTGAAGCAATGGAAACAGCAGAGCAAGGGGAAAATTTTAACCAACTATTCATCTGGCAGAATGTCAAGGTCCAAAATATACAAGGAACTAAAAACCTCAATAACAAAAAAAAAAAAAACCAAAATAACACAATTTAAATATCAATTGGCCTTAACGGACATTTCTCAGTCATACAGATGGCCAGGAGATACACGAATGCCCAGCATGCATCATGGCTGGATCCATAATGGGAGACCATAGAGAGCTGGGGATGCTTCTGCTGATGAAGTGACAGCAAAGACAGATTCTGGGTGCCACAATAAACCTCCCAGCTGGAAGAAATTGTCCAAATTAAGGTCTTCCTTCCTAATTACTTATGGCAGTTTCTGCAGAGGCAGGGAATGGCTGAAGGTAGACTCCCTAACGTTTATTCCCCAATGCAGTGCTGTGCCTGTTGCAAATGCAGCCCAACAAAAAGCAGTACTATGTTAGTCTGCTTTCTGTTGCTCAGACAAAATACTGGTGGCCAGGTGCACTACTTATTTTCTTTGTTGCTGTGGTGGTTTGAATAGGAATGGCCCCCATAGACTCATTTGTTTGAATGCTTGGCTCATAGGCAGCAGCACTATTAGAAGATGTGGCCTTGTTGGAGTAGGTATAGCCTTTCTGGAGGATGTGTGTCACTGTGGAGGCATGCTTTGAGGTCTTATAAGCTCAAGTCTACCATTATAACACAGATTTTCATTCTACTGTCTGTGTATCAAGATTTAAGACTCTCAGCATCTTCTCCAGGAATATGTATGCATGCCACCATGTTCTGCCATGATGGTAATGGGCTAAACCTCTGAAACTGTATGCCAGTCCCAATTAGATGTTTTACTTTATAAGGGTTGTCTGGCATAAAGTCATACATGCAGATAGAGCACTAGAGCACTCATAAAGTAAACGAATTTTAAAAACAAAAGGCAGTGGGGCTTTGTTGTTTGGTTTTTAGCTGGTGATTATCTGTTTCCTCAGATGTTCCTTGGAAACAGGGACCACACCGGTTATCACTCAATGCATCCTGCCTCATTTGAAAAAAAAAAAAACAATGTAATTGAAGTTCACGGAAGAGAGAATTTCTAAAGTGAAGATTATCACTCAATGCATCCTGCCTCATTTGAAAAAAAACAATGTAATTGAAGTTCACGGAAGAGAGAATTTCTAAAGTGACAAGTTGCCTTTTAAAGCTATTCCCATATCTTATTTTCGAATTTACTGGCAGTAATTAATCTACATTATTAAATAAGTTTCAGTTCACTGGAGCTACTGAATAATTACTATGTTAGTTAAGTAGTGTTTCTATGACAGTATAAGTTTAACTGAATGTGCCAAGTTGTTTTTAGGGAGTAGTCTCAGAATTCTTTGAAAAGTGGTGAGAAACACATCATTCATCATGAATTTGACAGATTAATGATTAAGAGAACAGCATGAAATATAGCACGTTTAAAGTTTTAAAATTCAAAGCATGGTCAATAAGGATTATTCCTAATAATATTTTACTATTTTTTCCTTGAAGGCACCGTGACAGAGAAGCTTTCCCCAAAGATTATGACCTAGAATGTCCCGGGGCAGAGAAAAACTTCTGTAATTCGACATATTGTCGATTTGGAAATGACAGTTCAGTAAGTAGTAGCTGTTAATTCTTTGTCTAAAATCTTTATCATCCTGAAACAACAAAAAGTTAAGGTGAGAAATATCTTTTCCAACTCTGGTTCTCATTTGTGACATTTAGTTAGGTGACTTAGTTGCACTTAGCAAACCTTTAAAATGCACCTGCTTCTTAAGGTTATTGAGTGAATTAGACACAACAAAGTGCTCAGCATGCTGCCTGACTGTGTTAGTTAGCTTCCAGTTGCTCGAACAAAATATTGGACACAGGCTACATATGAAGGAAAAATTTTTATTTGAACTTGCAATTCTGGAGGTTTTAAATCCAAAATTAGGTCACCCCACTGGTCTGATAAAGGTGACATGTCATTGGGGGAATGTATGTCAGGGTGAGTAGCCACATTTTAAGACAGGAATAAGAAGGAAACTGAAACTGGGCCACCCAATTTCCTTTGAGAGTATACCCTCACTGGCCTAATGGCTTCCTCTCAAGGGAGTCTCTTACCTCTTAAAGATCCCTTGTGCTTTCTAGTTGTACCACTGTGGGAGGATGTGATGCTATGCTGCATAGTAGCATCTTGCTGGAATAGTAACATATTTCTGGATAACTTCCATCTTCTAGAATAACCGTGTGAAGCCAGTGTGGTGGTTTGAAAGAAAATAGCCCCCAAAGGGAGTGGCACTATTAGGAGGTGTGGCCTTGTTGGAGGAAGTGTGTCACTGTGGGGGTGGGCTTTGAGGTCTCTTTTCCCAAGCTTTACTCAGTGTGACAGTCAGTGGACTTCTGCTGCTGCCTTCTGGTCAAGTTGTAGCCAGCTCCATATCTCCTTGCATGCTGCCATTCTCCCTGTCATGGTGATCATGTACTGAGCTTCTGAAACTGTAAGCCAGCCCCAATTAAATGTTTTCTTTGTAAGAGTTGCTATGGTCATGGTGTCTCTTCACAGCAATAAAAAAACCCTAAGACAGAAGTTGGTATTTATCTCCATTTTATAGAGGCATGGAGAGAGCTGAGCAGTTCATTGAGAGTCACATAGCAAGGGAAATGGGAAAATGAAATTTGAACCCGGGTCTATGATTTTTTTTTATACTTTCCTTCAGATAAGTTTTATAAGAAATTAAACCTGCTATCATAAAATTTGGGGGTCCAGTTACAGAAAGAATATGCATGTGTAAGCAATTACTGTTTGAGTCATGTGGAGTAGATTAATGCTTGTCCACTTGAGTATCTATCTAGTCAACATAAGCTTAGTGGTCTAAGAACTCCTTACTTGTGCCATACAATGGCAGTAGCTTTGGGGCTAGATGAAAGCCTGGTTTAAGGGATGGAAGAGATGACTGAGTGAGTGAGTGCACTTGCTGCATAATCATGGGGACCAGAGTTAAGATCTCAGTATTGACACAACAAGCAGGGCATCTGTCACTCAGCTTTAACTCCAGTTCCAGGGAAGACAGAAACAGCAAGGTGAGCTTGGCCAGACAAAAACAAGTGAACTCCAGTGCCAAGGAGGGACCTTGTTCCCACCCCCTGATGGGGAGAATGATGGAGAGGGACCCATGCCCTCTCCTGACCTCTGTTGGTACTGTGATCTAAGGCATGGGCACCTGAACATACGTGTGTGCATGTACACCATACACTCACGCACAATAGATATGTACACAAATAAATTCTAAAAACCCCTACAAACCCATTTAAACCTTGGGATGTCTTCTTGGCAGTTGGCCAGCACATGGGTGGAGTTCATGTGCCTAATGCTGAGCTCAGCCAACAGCACTTCTGCTACCCTTGTCCTAATCCCAGGCTTTCTTGAGCATCTCTTGGGAGATAGCCTCAGGTTCTGAAGAGTGGGTTACTTGACACAGTAGAAGGTGAACATGCTGCGAACACTGGGTAGGTCTCATATTTTGCCCCTAAAGGATGATGCACTCAAATAGCTTTGTGATATTGCCAGACCTGGGAAAAGACATAATTATATATTGGAAATTAGTCTAGAATATTCTCTGTTCTCTACAGTAGATGGAATGAACTGACTTAGCATGGTAGTTTGGCTTCCTCCATTTCTTTTAGTTGTAATGAGCAGAGAACAAGCAGGATGACCTGGAAAAGATGAGATTCAGTGTAAAGTTGCAGCTGGTTTGATGTGGAATGAGGCAACTTTTAGGACCCAATACATTGGTAGAGAAGACACTTCCTCTGCACCGTTCTCATTCACACACATGGGGTTTTCTTCACATATCTATTTCTCTGTTGTCTGTCTGTCTGCCTCTCTCTCTCTCTCTCTCTCTCTCTCTCTCCCCCTTCCCTCCCCCTCCCTTCCTTCCTTCCTTCTGTCCATCCTTCCTTGCTTTTTCTTTTTACTGCGCCAGCCCAAATAACATGGTCGATGTGAGATTTCCGTTTTCTCACCCAAGCTTCTTGCTCTATGCCCCCAAATGTCTCCTTGACAGTCAGCCAGCAAGTGGGCAGAGCTTATGTGTCTGGTGCTGAGTTCAGTTAATAGCACCTTTGCTACATTCCCCCCAAACCTGGGCTGCCTCGTGCATGATCAGAGCAAGAGAAAGTTAAGCAAGATGCACATTGCCTCTGGCTTGTGGGAGATGAAGTGAAATTAAGGTGCATGGGTTTTAGACCCTTCCTTCTTTGGCTTCTATATATTATAGTGGTCAAGGCTTAAATTTAACAGCAATGTTTGCCTTTCCTATACATTTGGTGATGATCGTGGAACCCCTGTCCTCCTCCTACCAGTTTCTCCATAGAAATAAAACCAAAAATAAATAAAAAGGAAAGGAAAGGACATGAGTGTTCCCAGGTGTGGTGGAGGAGAAAGTTTACTATAGATATGTGGGAGAGCATAGAGGCAGAGGCAACTAAAGTATGGAGTAGACATGACAAGGGGGAGGGGGAGGGGAAGAGAGAGTGGAGAGAGGGAGCCAGATACAGCAGTCAGGAGGCCCCGAAGAGAGTACATGATGAGAATCTTTAATCAAACTGGCTGGAGTTTAGGGTAGTGGGCAGGGTATATCAGCCAGGAGGGCCCTGTAACAGGTTGGAACTGAGGGATGCTGGGAGAACCTGGTGGCCAGATCCTCTTTGATATGTTAAATAAGCACCTCAGCTGTTCCTCCTGGGTTTGAAACTTGAGGGTTTCTGGTCTGTTTTAGATACAAAGGAAATAGATGAAGAACCACTAATTCTGGTAAAACCACAATTTTCTTATCTTAGTAAGTCTAGTTTTCTGATAAGAGTTTTGTCTATTAAGTTACTGATCCATCCATTTTTGTTTTTCACAACAAAGCTACAAAATTGTCAAGAAAAATATTAATTACTATTCTCATTCTAAACATACCCTTATTGACGGTAATATCACTCATTCAATGTCCCCAGTGTCCAGGGAGAGGCAGACACCACCAGTTCAGGGCTTCCTGGCCACCATGTGATGAATTAGTGAGTCCCCCTTCCTGCTTTTCCAAAGTTTTAGCATAGGCCTAAATACTAGAACACTGTTTGTTTGTTTGTTTGTTTTTTGAGCCAGTATTTCATGTACCCTAGGCTGGCCTCAAATTTCCTATGTAGCTGAGGATGACTTTGAACTTCTGATTTTCCCCAAGTGTGACCACTGTACCCAACTATGAACACCCTTGATAGAGGCTAGCCTGCCAACCATCTGAGACCTCTGAACCAGAACCAGAACCAGAGTAAAACAGTGTTAGCTGTTACGCTTTTGGAGAGTGCTGGTTTGAAGGAGGATTTGTTTACCTGACGATTGCTGGTTCCTTTTTCTATAGTTGAGAAAAACTGTTCAGAGAGACATCTTTCCTGACATTTCAAAGACATAGGGCTGTCTGTGACACGAGCTTGAGAATCTCAGTGTGAGGTGCTGCTATCTATGCCGGCCCTAGTCTGTGACACGAGCTTGAGAATCTCAGTGTGAGGTGCTGCTATCTATGCCTGATGTGGCAGAATACAGAGAGGGAGCAAGCTGCACTCAGAGTTGTCAAGTAACTTTGTGTTTGCCTAGATGAGTTCACCAGATAAAATCTGTGGGAGTCCTTTAAGAAAGACTGTAGGACTGGGACAGAGAGCCAGCCACCCAGCACCAGAGACCTACCAAATAACTGATGTTACTGTCAGAGGACTGACTCTGTGCATGGTGGGGGATCTTCCTAATAGACCACACTGCCTCTAGAGTCCAATTGGAGACATGTGGTGAGGGCAGGAAGATTATGTCTGGTGTTGCCACACTGGGAAGGAATAGTGAAAGCCATTATAAGCCCTCACCAGGTACCAATGGGAACTTAGGGATTGTATAGAAGAATAAAAGGATGGGGCAAGAAATATGCATATTCAGTCTTAGTCTAACTGATCATGATCTCAGGTCTGGTTCCATGAGGTCCTGCTGGCACAAGGGAAACCATTATGGCATGAAGTTACTGCTTCTGCCTGGAGGTGGGAACCAGTCTGTTAGTCATAGCATGTAGGCAGCAGGGCTACTACTGTAGGGATTTGGGATAAACTGGAAAGGACTCAGATCATAAGCTATGGCAGTAAAACATATTTAAGATAATGACTGAGTCTCTCCCTCAGGGAAATAAATGATGAAGGAGCACACTTCCATCTTGGAATTTAAAGCCATCTCCCTGTAAAGACAAACTAACTAGGTTCATTGCTTTTTTATGATTAGACCTATTTCTCAAGAATTGGGTTATGCTCTGCCTGTAACCTTAGCTGCAACTGGTTCTGTACTCCCTGTTCCAGGAATGGCAATCTTGTCTTTGTTTCAAAAAGTTGATATGACCATATTGCAATCCTACCGTTATTTCAGAAGATTATTATGACCACCTGTTGTTATGACTACCTTGCTAGGTTCTGTGTCTATAAACCTTGCTATCGGTAAACTTGCCTTTTCCTGAGCTATAAAAACCTTATCTCCTACATATCCAAAGCTGACCTCTTGAACCCTGCCATGGGAGAGGGCTCCAGGTATAAGAATAAAAAGCTTACTTCAATTCATTG